CAGGACTCCAGGATCATGACGTGAGCCAAAGGCAGTCGCTTAACCAACTGAGCCACCCAGGCGCCCGTGAATTCTATACCTTTTATATAATGACACAGCCCATAACTTCACAGTTTGATACCCTAATTACCCCAGAATATTAATAATTAGTGTAAGTAAGACAATCTAACTCCACTATCTTATGCAGAAAAGCATGTTGAAGGCCTATGAAGGAGTTCACTGAATAAGTGAGTGGAATTGGCTTATAGGAAGCAAGAGATTTCTAGAGGGCTCCAGATGGGGAATCAGAGCAACAATTATCCCAGCAGAAGCGCTGGGTCACCTTGCTGTCAGAATGAGTGATCTTGCAATTTTCCTCCTGCTTTTGTATCATTTCTTCAGGTGTCAAATCCTGTGGGAGATCATCTGTTTAGCTCAGCATAGGTCCTGTGTCCAGCTACTTGCTGTTCTAAGGCAAAATGGAGGTTCTGTCCACTTTATCATCCATCCTATAAGACCACATAAAATGGGGAGAGGAATCCCTCCCCCACCAAAAATTGTGGTGCCATTAAGGAAGCAACAGGGTCGGTAAACAGGAAATAAAACGAAATAAAAGATTCCACTACAACTATAAAATGCGTGAATATTTTATCTCATATGAAATTGTGGCGGGCTTCATTTCCTGATGGCTTTTTCTTTGCTCACTCAGATAATGGAGGAATTGGCAGATGCTCTGACTTACTGCCACGAGAAAAAGGTGATTCACAGGGATATTAAACCAGAGAACCTACTGCTGGGGTTCAGGGGTGAGGTGAAGATTGCAGACTTTGGCTGGTCTGTGCACACCCCATCTCTGAGGTAGGTAAGGTGGTGGTGGCGGCATGGGCCCTGGGTGCCACTTAGGAATGATCCAATTTAATTCATTCCATGTGTAAGACCCAGATACAAATTTAGTTTTGTATTTGAGTACTGCCTTTTTCATATGCATATATTTAATGTGCATTTGTAGATTGAAAGAATGTGGCTCAACCTTATCTATTATCTTTTGATCTCTGTTAACATGTAACTTTCTCATTAAGTTTCCATGTAAGTAAGAATCATTGCTCCATAACTCCAGGAATTTTACTTGGTCCCTCTTGATGCACCATCAGTTTGTTCAAAATCTCTATTGATGCCCAAAATATTCTGAAAACATCCTCGATCGTGAGCCACATAACTTTATGAATAATTCCGAAATATGGAACTGGTGGGTTCCAGTATTTGCCTTCCCTAAACCTTGATCCTTATTAAAACTTAGTGTTTCCAAACTCCCATGCTCAGGAGGGGACTGCTCAGACTTTTTAGGGTCTCCCATCTCACTGGAATATAGAAAAGGAGGGTTACCCTTGTTCTTGGCTTCTACACAGTGCTCTCTTCCCTGCTGTCCTCTAGGAGAAAGACAATGTGTGGGACTCTGGACTACTTGCCCCCAGAAATGATTGAAAGGAGAACATACAATGAGAAGGTTGATCTGTGGTGCATTGGAGTACTGTGCTATGAGCTGCTGGTGGGAAATCCACCCTTTGAGAGCCCTTCCCATAATGAGACCTATAGACGCATCCTCAAGGTAGGATGGCTACACTCTGGGCACTCATTAGGGAGCCAGGCCTGCAGAGCCTGGGGTGCACACAAAGGTTGTCCAAAAAGATCCAGAACAGTGCTTTGAAGGGTCTTAAGGAATGGAGAAAGCATGCGGCACAGAAATTAACCATGTTCTCTTTTTTTCTTCTGTGGCCTCATCAGGTAGATGTAAGGTTTCCCCCATCATTACCTTTGGGGGCCCAGGACTTGATCTCCAAGCTTCTCAGATACGAGCCTTCGGAGCGGCTGCCCTTGGCCCAGATCCTGGAGCACCCCTGGGTCCGGGCCCACTCTCAGAGGGTGTTGCCTCCGTCTGTTCAGATGGCTTCTTGAGCCCTGTCTGCACCTGTTTTATTGTGTTTGTCCAGGGAGCTCTCCTGGCTCCACTATCTTACCTGTCCTTTGTTTCTTCTAAGATGCAAGATGCTAATTAATAAAAGCTGAATCATTTTGTACCGGTTCTTTAGAGTTATTTGACTATGTAGTTATGTGATTGGGTAGAATCTATTTCTTGTAGAAACTCTTTCCCATGAGAGCATCCCAAGATGATGTCCCTCCTGGTCCCCAAGGATGGTGACTCTACTCACCTTGAAAACTAGTTACTGCTTTGTGCAAACAACCACCCTGGTGGTGTACAACCTACCACCTATCACATTTCTTCTAGACTCAATTTACTATTCCCCGTGTTTTCAGGAGTATGCCATTTGTAAACCAGGACTCTGATCAACCCGGAGGTCCACCCTCTTTATACTGACATCCAGCATGTCTCTGAGACAAAATGTTTCACTGCACATCAATGCCACTCAATTCTCAAATGAATTCACTAGCACCTCCGTGGTGTGTCATATTCTGATTGCATCAAATAAGTCATCCCTAATAATAAATGTAACGTCGCATCTTCTGAAATCACATCCTCCACTTTCAGCAATTTAGGGAACTCTCTTCCGACTTTTCCCTGTATCCTGTTATAGCTTCATGTGTCAGTTACTCCCTCCATCCATGATAAGCTGACTGCACCAGAATAAACATCTAGACACAGTTGGGAGCTTAAACATGTTTTCTGCTCATCGCAGGCATTGCCTTCACCACTGTCTCCGAACTCCATATTTTATATGGAGTTAATGTTACTCCACCATATTCTACATGGCTTCCACAATGTGAAATTTCCAGCACATGCAAGACCACATCTCTGCATGTGACCAGACCCACTAATTAAGTAACTCAGCTACTCCACTCTCCGATGGACAGCCCCATTATTGCAGATTTGTCATTTAAATGCTCCAGGACATTGGCTCATGGTTTTTCATCTGCACCTCCAGGGCCCATATTTCTGTGCTTTTTAGCTTTGTCCTATCAGTGCTCTAGAATCAGTATTTCAATTTTTTTTTTTTTTTTTGACAGCACAAGCAGAGGAAGCAGCAGGCAGAGGCAGAGGGAGAAGCAGGCTCCCCGCTGAGCAGGGAGCCCGATGTGGGGCTCGATCCCAGGATCCTGAGATCATGACCTGAGCTGAAGGCAGACGCTTAACCGTCTGAGCCACCCAGGCGCCCCTTGAATCAGTATTTCAATTAAACACCTGGAAATTCCTAATAAACTAACTGGTTTGTACATAAGAACCCTGCAATATTACTCAGTTTGGGTGCTGGATAAACTGACATCACCCGGCACATTTTTGGGGAGGTAGATAAACAGAGAAAAGACAACTAGGGCTTCCACATTGACTACTAGATGATATATGTCTAAATTACGAAAACTCTCAGACATGCTTTACAGTAAAGTAGGGATTTCAAAGTCTCCAAAAGCTACATAGTTTTCCTCACCACTGATTCCGGACATTGTGCCGCTCATGACACAGAATATAAAAATCTTAACTTTGATATCTGACGTACATCCTACCTTCAAACCATTTAATTTAACCGTGTCAACCCCATGTGAAAAGAAGAATGTCTTTTCCAATTTGGTCAAATTACTATGCTCGATGGTGGATCACACTGTTCCTTGTGTGCTAATTAAGCCACATTTCTCCACAACCTCCTTTTATAAAAAGCATCTTCTTCTAGGAAATTAACTGCATCTTAATCCTTGATTCAATCACTATGCTTTTCTCCACTTTTTAAAATTTTTTTTTAGTTTTTATTCAAATTTCAGCTAACATACAGTGTAATATTAGTGTGTACAATATAGCGATTCAACACTTCCGTACATAACCCAATGCTCATCAGAAGTGCACTCCTTAATCCCCATCACCTACTGAACCCATGCCCCCCTCCACCTCTCCTCTGGCAACCATCAGTTTGTTCTCTATAGTGAATAGTGTTTCTTAGTTTTCCTCTTTTTTCCCCCCTATGATCGTTTGTTTTGGTTCTTAAATTCCACATCTGAGTGAAATCATATGGTATTTGTCTTTCTCTGACTTACTTTGCTTAGGGTAATACACTCCAGCTCCATCCATGTTGTTACAAATGGCAAAATTTCATTCTTTCTCGTGGCTGAGTAATATTCCACAAAATAAATCTCTTGGCATTTTCTGCATACTGTTTCCATTTTCATAACCGTATGTATTCTCAATTCATTAGAAGTGAGATTTTATTCTCTCACTTTCATAGTCATGAGAAGAAAACTAAATAAGTCACTGATGGTGACTTGTAAGATTTTGCCTAATATAAATCTGAAAGGATTGTTAGAATTCCTAACATGACTGTTGGTTTCTTGTCTGCAACTACTTAATGCCGGGTTGGTTCAGGGTTCGCCCCTGTCCATTCCTTTCTCCATCTAGTCTCACTCTTGTGTTGACTTGAGATGGCAGCATCTGCTAACAATTCCCGAAATTTCCGCATCCACGCACGACCCCTCTGCCGGCGCTCAGACACAGGTGGAAGTGCCCACGTGAAACAGACGCTCGAAACTGCCCATGCTCCAGACTGGAGTCCCGACCTCCCCCCAGCCTCGCTCAGGGGCGGCCTCCCCAGCTCAGAGGCTCGCACACCGCTCCTCGGGCTCCCGGGGCCGCCTCCACGCGTCAAGGCCCCGCAGCACGTGGCGCTGGACCAGAGGCGGCCCAAGAGGGGCCGTGTGGTGCGCGTGCGCCGCGTCGCAGCGGGCTTCCAGCGTCCGGTGTCGGCGGGCACATGCCCGCTCGAGCGTCCGTCTTCGCGGCAGGACGAGCGCCAGGAGGAGAGGCGCACGGGGGAAGTCAGCAGCCGAGCCAAGGGCAGGGTTACTGGACCTGGCATGTGCCCTGACTCCGGTCGGAAGTCCCGCCTCCTGAGCCTCGACTTACCCGGGCATGAGAGGGACGGCCTCGCCCTTTCTCCTCGGTCCACCCCGCGTTGTGTTCGCTGTGAAGAGGCGGGTCTGACAGCGAGCTCTGGGCCTGATAAGTTTTTCGACGAGGAAGACCGGCTCCGGAACACGTTCTTCTGCGGCTCGTTTGTAGAGCAAAAACTACATTGCCCAGAAGGCTGTGCACCGGGCGTCCGCTCAGGTGGGGGCGGGGCTTCCGGTCTCCTGGTGGTGGACGTCATTCGTGTGCGACGGTTCCGTCCACGCCAGCTGTGGGGAGGGGATCGCTGTTCTGTGACCCGCCTCCAGGGAAGCTCTTGGGAAAAAGAGCTGAAAGAAGGCTATCACTTGCCTCCGCGCCTTTGAAGGAACCGTGAGCTACCCGGTGACCGGGGAGTGCGAAAGTCAGCCGAGGTCACCCCTCCCGGAGCAGGGGAGGGGTGGCGGTTGGCCGAGCCCGCGGGACTCGCCTGTGTCGCTGCCTCTCCGGGCCCCGCTCGGTGCACAGGGTCCCATGATGGCGGCGGCGTGGATGGACCCTGCGCAGGTGAGTGGACGATGTTTTGGGTATTGCTGCCTCTCTGCTGCGGAGAGGGCTCCTGGGCAGCCTGGAAGCCGAGAGAGGTGCTCGATTTCTCTTTGAGTTGTGTTTGTGTAAGACGAGCGGAGAAGGCTTGTCACTTTCTTGATCTCCAGTCTTAGAACAGAATATACAGAGAGAGACTGAATATACACACATGATCTGACAATTGGCAGACCGTATTTAAAAGTAGAACTCTGACCCAAAACTTGGAGCTACCTGCCCAGGAAACTAATCCCTTATCTACCGTTAGCAACCCAGGAAACCAGTCTGCTCTGTCCTATTTGGCCGGAAGCCAGATTACTAGCTCTAGTGACAGTCCAGGAAGCTAAACAATGACTTCTCTAAGAGTCGGCCCCAAATAGCCACGATTTCATTAATAACTGATCCTCCCTAATTTTCCCCCTATTTTCAACATAAGACCGATCAGAAAAAAACCTATATCTGCACCCCTAACCAATCATATACGATGCTAGGGGAGTGCATGTCAGAGAGTTTTCATAATTTAGACATATATCACCTAGTAGCCAATGTGGAGGCCCTAGTTGACTTTTCTGTGTTTATCGATCTGCCCAAAATGTGCCCGGTGATGTGAGTTTATCTAGCACCAGAACTGAGTAATATTGCAGGGTTCCTATGTATGAACCAGTTAGTTTATTAGGAATTTCCAGGTGTTTAATGTAAATATTAACTTGAGAGCCCTGATAGAGGGGACAAAGCTAGAAAGCACAGAGATGTGGGCACTGCAGGTGCACATGAAAAACCATGAGCCAGTGACTTGGAGCATTTAAATGACAGCTCTGCAGTAGTGGGGCTGTCCATCAGAGAGTGGAGTAGCTGAGTTACTTATATTTAATTAGTGGGTTTGGTCACATGCAGGGATGTGGTCCTGCATGTGTTGGACATTTCACATTGAGGAAACTGTAGAATATGGTGAAGGGAAATATTAACAAGGCAAACTCCATAATGAAATGTTTCTTTTAAGTCAAAAGACAACATTAGTGGAAACTTAAGATGACTTAAGAACTGGGGACTTACAGTCCCTTTAACCAGGATGTGAAGTCCTCAGCATGGGGGCAGGCAGCTAGCAGGACCAGTGAGGCTCAGGTACTGCTGTTGTTACTGATACTGTTATTACCATATTCACTCATTCCTCTGACGTCCTAGAGCCCTTGCCGTCTGCATCTCCCAGTGCTCGCGTCATTTCCATTGTCTTGTGTGACCTTCCAGTGGCTCCCACGGAGGAAGCTTCTCCCTTAGACTGCCGTAGTACATCCAAAGCATTGCCCACCTGCCCCTTGAGCCCAGCGCAGAGCTTGGCCCTCAGGAGGTACTTGGTGATTTGAACCTTGATCACTCTGCATCTTTACCAGGGATGTAGGGATGAGCTCTGATCACATCCAACAGCCCCAAGGCCAACGCTACTACCTCTGTTTGACTTTCCAGATATCTGTGACCTTCGATGATGTGGCCGTGACTTTTACCCAGGAGGAGTGGGGGCAGCTGGACCCGGCCCAGAGGACCCTGTACCAGGAGGTGATGCTGGAAAACTGTGGCCTTCTGGTGTCTCTCGGTGAGTCCTCCCCACTCCACCATGGGGGGACCTGCCACCTTCTTGTCAGAGCACCCTGTGGCTCCAGGCCTGGCTGGTCAAGAAGGCCTCTGGGTCCCCACCCCCACCCGCCTGCAGCTTCACTCATTTTCTAGACTCATCTCTTTGGGCCTGCTCTCCTGTGTCTGTCTGGGCAAGAAACAGTTCCTCTTTGGCTCCTAGAAAGTAATGGAAGGAAAGGGGGGTGTTCTGCAGACCCAGAGGGAGGGTTTCCAGCTGGGTCCTGTGAGGGACTGACAGAGGAACAGGGAACCACCACGATTATACCCTGGCTTCTGGTCTCTTGTCCTGGCTTCTCTGTCTGGCTCTCTCTGGTCATGTCACTGTATGCAGAAAGGTTTTTCCTCTGCCTCATCAAGTTGTGATAGGACGGGCCACCTGGTCCCTGCTCTTTCTGGCCGCCATATTCCTGGTCTCCGCGTCTTTGCGTGTTTATGTTGTTCCTCTTTCTCTGTCTCCTGCTGGGCTGTGTGGGGTGTCCTTGGGGCAGGAATGGCCACCCGAGCCAATACTTCTCTGGACCTCTCACCCAGTGCCCAGCACAGACCGGCCTCCTTCCGAGGTTCTTATTTCCCATTCCAGAGAGGGAGCTGACTGCGTGAGCCTGATTGGCTCAAGTGTCCTTAGCAGGGCTGTGAGTGATGGGATGTTCTCTTAAGAAGAGAGTGAGTCAGGCAGGGCCCCGGGAGACATTTGCCTTCAGTGCCAACAGGTATTGTCCCAAACAACATGATCTCGGTTGTGGGGCTCCTTTGTGTCTGTGTGCCTTCGAGATTATCACTTGTTTCAAGGGCCAACATCCTCTGCCAGTCCAAGAGAGAGGTTAGAGTAATACTTCTCAGCAGTTGGGATTTGTACCCCCAGGAGACATTTGCCAATGTTTGCAGCCACTTTGGGTTGTCTGGCCTTGAGTGTAGGTGGTACTGGCATCTAGCGGTTAGAGTCCAAAGATGCCGTAAACCTCCTTCGGTGGACAAGACCGCCCTCCTCAATGAAGGATTATCCCGCCTGCAGCATCCAGAGTGCCATGGTTGAGAAACACCAGCTTAGATGTTTCTCTGCTTGAGGAGAATGACCACAGCGCCATTCAACTTGAGGGAAAGGAGGGCTATAAATCCAGAGCTTAGGATGAGACATGCCAGTTCTTAGAGAACTGGAATTATGTCTGTCAGTGAGAAGAGAAAAAGCAAAATTAGAAAAGTTGGCTAGATTAAAGATCTCATAACAAAATGTTTCAGAATAAAAAGTCTACTCTCTTTTCCTGCTGACCTCATCCGTCACCTTCAGTGCTTTCCCTGAGCTCACTGTGCTCTGGCTGTGCTGGGCATCTAGTGATTTCCCCACGCCCAGCCGTGCCTCGGGCCTCTGCTTGCTGTTGTGTCTGCCTGGGGAGTGTTCTTGGGCATTTCAGCCTCTCTCGCGGTCACCGCTTCTGTGCATAATCACCGTCTCGCCAGCTGTGTCCTGACCAGCAGATCTCATGGAGGCCCCTCCCCGACCCCCTCGCTTCGACGCATCATCCTGGTTACAACTCTCTGTGCCAGTGGTTCTCATCCAGGGATGGTGTCGTCCCCCGGAGACACTGGCCAGTGTCTGGAGATATTTTTGGTTGTCACAGGTGGGATGGAGGTGGGACAGGCACCTAGTGGGTGGAGACCTGGAATGCTGCCAGCACATCCTTACCATGCACAGGACAGTTTCCTGCCTGTCTTCCCAGTAAAAAAGTATCTTGACCTAGGGGTGCCTGCGTGGCTCAGTCGTTAAGCATGTGCCTTCGGCTCAGATCATGATCCCAGGGTCGTGGGTTCAAGCCCCCCATCAGGCTCCCTGCTCCACGGGAAGCCTGCTTCTCCTCCCACTCCCCCTGCTTGTGTTCCCTCTCTCGCTGTGTCTCTCTCTGTCACATAAATAAACAAAATCTTAAAAAATATGTATATATTAAAAAGAATTATCTTGACCTAAATGTCAGTTGTATGGCGGTTGAGAAACCCTGTTTCAGAGGGCGTGTGGACACTTCATCAGCTGGCATGGAGGGACACCTGACATCATCACTGCATTATTTCTGCTCTTTCTTGTCTCCTGATTGTTGCTGCGGAAAAATCTGGGTTTATTGCTGAATCTTAACATCTCACCCCCTAATTGTTGCTAATTTCCCTTTTCAACAGAGTGGGCATGCAGCCCTGCGTAGGCAGCAGGAGCTCCCTGGGAATTAAGATCGTTCTGATTTCATTGCTGTGTCTTCAGGGTGACCTGCCATCAAGGCCAGTGATTCCAGTTTCCACTTACTAGAGTGATAATAGATTCCCTTGTTGAAGGAATCTAGGAAAAATAAAAGTGGGTCACTTTTAGGAAAAGTGATTAATAATAGTCACAGCCTGCTCAGGTCCTTGGAGCACTGTCCCAAGCACTCTTCCTGCTCCGCCCATATAATCTCATGGCCTCCCAGTGCTCAGGAAATCAGGAAGTCTCGGCCACTGTAGTGAGTCCCCCATACAGCTTAATTTACTCAATATGTAACATACTTCATTTTTTTAAAGATTTTATTTATTTATTTGACAGAGAGAGAGCAAGAGAGGGAACACAAGCAGGGGGAGAGGGAGAGGGAGAAGCAGGCTTCCCGCTGAGCAGGGAGCCCGATGTGGGGCTCGATCCCAGGACCCTGGGATCACGACCTGAGCCGAAGGCAGCTGCTTAACGACTGAGCCACCCAGGCGCCCCAGAACATACTTCATTTTATGAAGCTTTTCTCTGGTTTGTTTTTTCCCTTGTAGTAAAAATCCTTTTTATGTTTAATGTTGTTGACAGTGTACAGTATTTGATGTTTCTGTAAATGTCTGTCTGGGACCATATCACTATGTAGGATTCTCAATTTTATTATTTCTTAGTAGTTATGAAATGCTGAAGTCTGGAGTCCCTAAGTCTGTCCCTCCCCAGGCCCCTGTTCTCTGAGGATGAATCTTCATGCTCATGTCCCTACCTCACCACCACGCTCCACTTGGTCTGAGGCTGCTGGCCACATACAAGGGTGTTTGCTGTTTCCTCCTTAGTGTCGTGTTTAGGAGACAAAAGTCCAGAGCCAGATCCTGATGTTCAGTCCTAGCTCTGCTCCTTAAAAACTGTGGCTACAGGCAAGTTACTGAACCTGTCTGCCTGGGTGTGCTCACTGGTAAATTGAGGTAATATATACTTTAGTATATATTTCCTGGGACTGTAGCAAGGATAAATGGGTAACTTATGAACAGGATTCAGGACAATGCGTGGTGTGACCAGGTTATGTGCAGGCTAGCAGTTGAGAATTTCGCTGCCACCACTGTGTTTCTCTCATCATGATCTTCATCATCCTTATGGATGGTGGACTCAGCACCTCTGGAACAATGAAGTGTAGCTTTGTGGTAAAACAGCATAGAGAGCTAGACCTGGGTTTCCATTTTGGCTCAGCAGTTCACCAGTTCTTTGCTCTTTGGCAGATCACATTATCTGCCTGAGCTTGTTTATTTTCGTCTACAAAGTGGTGCTGATTACCATATGTACTTGCTGAAGGTGCTGTGAGGAAATCCTAAGATAGAATCCTCATTTTGTCTATGGCCTATAGGAAGAACGATACAAAATTGTGCTTAGGATCTAGAAAAAGCTAGATCAATGAAGGCAAATACCTTGTTTTGAATGAATAAGTATTTTAAATGTGTAAGTTGTAATTTATTTCAATTTTGAAATGATATAATGCATTTAAGTTGCTTGACACAGTCCCTTATGATTATGGTTATTTATGATTACAGTTTGTATTTATATTATGATATTTATGACTGTATATATTGTTTTTTTACCTATTGTGAGGAAAATAACTCCCTGGCAGTATGGCATGCCTTTCGTTTCTGGGTTTGCATGTTAGCATTTTGTGTGGATGGGAGCAGTTTTATTCCAAGATCTTGTTTACAGACTAGATTGAAGGATTTTATTTTTTTCACAAAAATCCTAGTGTCTTCTTTCTTTTTCTGTGAACAGGGTGTCCTGTTCCTAGACCTGAGCTGATCTACCAGCTGGAGCACGGGCAGGAGCTGTGGACGGTGAAGAGAGACCTGTCTCAAAGCGCCTATCCAGGTAGGAGCCAAGATGTGGGCAGGTGGGAGACCCTGCAGGCTCGAGACCAGGGGGAGACCACTGGCCCTGGTGCCCTGGGGAAGCTTCTTGTTCTGGCCTCTCTGGGGGTTTGGAAGCCACGGAGCCCTTTGACCCGAAGTCAGCATGCCTGGCAAGGGACCCAGAATGTTGCTCACTGCTTCCACCTCCCAAGTTTCAGCGGACGGTCCTGCCACCCAAGCAGGTTAGAGACTGGGTACGGCCTCAGAGAATCCCTCACAGCTCCACCTCCCTCAGTCCCCACATCCGGCCATGCCCCAGTCCTGTGCGTGTCACACCTTGTACATCTCCTGCATCCCATCACTTGCACCACCTTCCTCAGACCCGTCCCCAAGCTCAGTGCACGCTCCCATCGTCTTTTCTCTGGGGGATGCTGCTAGTCTCCTAACCGGCCTCTGTATCTGCTGGTGCCTCTAGTCAGCTCTGTGTCCTGCATGAGCTACTCCAGGAGCTCAGACTTTGTTCCAGGTGGTTACCACTTCCCCAGCCGTGGATGTCTCAGCATATGACCCCTGAGGTGTCAGCGGGTCTTTGCGTTGAAAGTAAAGTCCGCCTCCTCCATTGCTTGATCCTCGACCCTACCGCACTTGCTCAGGCTCCGGTGTCTGCAGCTTCCCCTTCCATCTTGAGGGAGAGGTCTTACCCCTGGCCCTGGCCAGTTCCTGAACCAGAGTCTAGAGCACACCTTTTCAGGAAGACGTTTTCTTCATTCATATTGTTTGTTTTGTAATGTAATGTCATCCTTTCTCTACTCAACATAAAAATAGGCTCAAGTTCCTTCAGCTGAAGAAAATCAAGAAATTCCTGTCTCACATCATATTCATCCACTCTGTGTACGTTCAGTTACTCACATGTTTTGACTCATACGGGGTGCTGCCAGGAGCAGTCCTGTATCAGTCATCTTGCACAGGATTACGGTGTCTCTGGTGTTTCTTGGAGTGAAATTGTTGGTTTATAGGTTATGCAAGCTTCCAAGTTTACTGGATAATTGCCATTGTGTTCTAAAGGACATGTACCAATTTACACTTTGCCCAGGAAAGCGTGGAGGTTCCTTCGACCTATACTTTGCCCAATACTTGATACTCTAAGGCTCCTCAATCGTTGACAAAACTCTGTCCAATATTTGATACTCTCAAGTATTAAGCTGACAAAATTGTATCTTATGGTCTTGGTTTGCTTTTCCTTCATTGCTGAAGAGCTTTAGCACCTGATCATATGATTATTGGTCAGCCTATATTTTCTCCTTTGAAATGTCATTTCATGATAAATACCTATTTTTCTCTTAACTGGTTTGCATTTTCTTTTTGATTTGTAGGGATTCTTTGTATACTCTTTCTGTTATTTTTTGTGTGTGTTAAAATATTCATAGCATAAAACTTAACATTTTATTCATTTTTAAGTGTACAGTTGAGTGATATTAAATACATTCATAATACCGTGCAGTTATCACCACCATCCATCTCCAAAGCTCTTCATTGTGTAAGATTGAAACTCTCTACCCATTACACAGTAACCCCCCCATCTCTCTGCCCCAGGCCCTGGCAACCGCAATTTTACTTTCTGTGTCTATGATTTTCACTAAGTACTTCATATTAGTGGAATGATGCAGTATTTGTGTGTGTGTCTTTATGACTGGCTTGTTTCACTTAGCATAATGTCCTCAAGGTTTATCCATGTGGTAGCATGTGTCAAAATTTCCTTCCTTTTTAAGGCTCAATAATATTCCACATACCACACTTTGCTATGCATTCATCCCTCAGTGGACACTTGGGTTGCTTCCATGTTTTACCTATTGTGAATAATATTGCTGTGAACATGGGTGTACAAACATCTTTGAGAACCTGATTTCAATTCTTTTAGGAATATAACAAGAAATGAATGAAATTACTCGATCATATCTTAATTCCATTTTTAATTTTTTGAGGAGCTGCCATACTGTTTCAACAGACACTATATCATTTTACATTCCCACCAACAGTGCACAAGAGTTCCCACTGTTCTATATCCTCCAGTATTTGTTATTTTCTGATCTTTTGATAGCCATCCTAATGGATGTAAGAGGATACCTCATTGTAGTTTTGATTTGCATTTCGCTAATGGTTAGTGATGTTGAACACCTTGTGCTTATTGACGATTTGTATGTCATCTTTGGTGAAACGTCTATTCAAGTCTTTTGCCCATTTCTGTATTGTGATTTTTTGTTGTTGAGTTTTAGTTCTCTATATATTCTGGATATTAATCCCTTATCGGATATATGATTTGCAAATATGTTCTCCCATTCTTGGGGTTATTGCCTTGCTCTGTTGATAGTATCTTGATGCACAATTTTTTAATTTTTATGACTCCAATTTGTTTATTTTTTCTTTTGTTGCTGATGGCTTTGGTGTCATATCTAAGAAGTCATTGCCAAATCCAGTGCCATAGAGGTTTTGCTCCGTGTTTTCTAAGAATCTTGTATTTTAGGTCTTACATTTGAGTCTTTGATCCTATTTGAGTTCATTTTTGCATATGATGTTAGATAGATAAGGGTTCAATTTTATTGTTTGTCATGTACTAGTTTTCCCAGCACCATTTGTTGTAAACACTGTCTTTTTCTCCCTTGAATGGTCTTGGCAACCCTTGTCAAAAATGATTTGATGATAGGGCGCTTGGGTGGCTCAGATGGTTAAGCATCTGCCTTCGGCTCAGGTCATGATCCCAGGGTCCTGGGATCGAGTCCCGCATTGGGCTCCCTGCTCCTTGGGAGCCTGCTTCTCCCTCTGCCTCTCTCTCTCTCTCTCTCTGTCTCTCATGAATAAATAAATAAAATCTTTAAAAAAAAATGATTTGATGATATATGTTAGAGGTCATTGCTGGGTTCTCAGTTATCTTACCTTGGTCTTTATGTCTTATCTTTATGCCAGTGCCACACTATTTTGATTTCTGTAGTTTTGTTTTGTTTTGTTTTTTGATTACTGTAGTTTTGTAGTAAGTAAGAGTTTTGGTTATTCAGGGTCTGTTCTGATACCATATGGATGTTACCATGGTTTTTTATATTTCTACAAAAAATGTCTTTGGGATTTTGATAGGGAGTGCACTGAATCTGTAGAACACTTTAGGGAGTATCAATATCTTAACAATATTAAGAAATCTAATCCATGACCATGGTATGTGTTTCCATTTATTTACATCTTTAATTTCTTTTAGCAACGTTTTATAGTTTTCATTGTCTTTATCTTTTACCTTGTTGTTTAGGTTTAACTCCTAAGTACTTCATTCTTTTTGATGCTGTTATGAGTGTACCTATTTTTGTAATTTCATTTTCAGATTGTTTATTATTAGTGTATAAAAATTCAACTGATTTTTCTGTGTTGACTTTGTATCCTGCTATTTTTTTTTTAAAGATTTTTTATTTTTTTATTTGACAGAGAGAGAGAGACAGCAAGAGAGGAAACACAAGCAGGGGGAGTGGGAGAGGGAGAAATAGGCTCCCTGCTCATGCAGGGCTCGATCCCAGGATCCTGGGATCATGACCTGAGCCGAAGGCAGACGCTTAACGACTGAGCCAGCCAGGTGCCCCATATCCTGCTGTTTTGTTGAACTCAGTTATTCTAACAGTTACTTTGTATGGCATCTTTATATTTTTCTACATATAAGATGATATTATCTGCAAACAAAGATAATTTTACGTTTTCCTTTCCAATTTCAGTGCCTTTTATTTCTCTTTCTTGCCTAATTATTCTGCCTAGAATTTCCAGTGTTATGTTGAATAGAAGTGGTGATAGCGTACATTCTTGCCTTGTTCTCAATCTTAGAGGAAAAGCTTTCAGTCTTTCACCATTGAATATCATGTTTGCTATGAGTTTTCCATATGCGGCTTTTATTGTATTGAGAAAGTTTCCTTCTGTTCCTAGTTCATTGAGTGTTTTTATCATGAAAGGATGTTGAGTTTTCAAAGGCTTTTTCAGTGTCAATTGAGATAATTGTGTGGGCCTTTCCCTTCATTCTAGTAATGTGGTATATTACATTTATCAGTTTTCGTATGTCAAACCACCCTTGCATTACAGCAGTAAACCTCACTTGGTCATGGTATATGATCCTTTTAATATGCTGCAGAATTTGCTGATATTTTGTTGAGGATTTTTTACATCAATGTTCATAAGGTACATTAGTCTATAGTTTTTTTGTAGTGTCTTTGGCTTTGTTATCAGGGTGGTAATGGCCTTAAAGATTTAAGGAGTGTTTCCTCCTCTTCAGTATTTTGGAAGAGTTTGAGGATTGGTATTCTTCTGTTAAAACCTTTGGTAGAATTCATCAGTGTAGCTATCAGGGCCAAGGTTTTTCTTTGTTGGGAGATATTTTTACTACTAATTCAATCTCCTTACTAGGTAGAGGTCTGTTCAGATTTTATATTTCTTCCTGATTTAGTCTTCATGGCTTTTGTGTTTCTAGGAAGTTGTCCATTTTATCTAGGTTACCCAATTTGTTGGTGTACAGTTGTTTGTAGTACTCTCTTATAATCTTATTTTTATTTCTGCAGAATTGGTAGTAATGTCCCCACTTCCATTTCTGATTTAGTCATTTGAGTCTCCTTTTTTCTTAGTTCATCTAGCTCAAGGTTTGCCAATTTTGTTAATCTTTTCAAAGAACCAACTTTTTGTTTCATTCATTTTTTTTTCTATTTTCCTATTCTCTATATCATTTCCTTTTAATCTTTACTATATCCCTCCTTCCCCTCGCTATGGTTTTAGTGTGTTCTTTTCCTACGTCCTTAAGTTGTCATTAGTTTGTTGATTTGAGATCTCTTTTGTTATTTAACATAAGCATTTATAGCTATAAATTTCCCTGTTAATGCTGCTTTCATTGCATCCTGTAAGTTTTAATATCTTAAGTTTTCATTACCATTAGAAGTGAGTCATACTTTATATGGTATCTTTTTAAATATGTTGAAACTTAATTTGTGGCCTAACATGATCTATCCTGGAAAATGTTCCATGTACACTTCAGAAGAATGTATATGCTATTGTTGGGAAGAATATTCTGTATATGTCTGTTATGTCTAGTTGGTATTTTATGTTAAGTCCTCTGTTTCCTTACTTATATTTTGTCTGGTTGTGCTATCCATTATTGAGAATGGGGTATTGGAGTTTTCATCTATTACCATAGGATTGTCTCTCCCTTCATTGTGCCACTTTTTGCTTCCTGTATTTTGGTGGTCTCTCATTAAGTACATGTTTACAATTGTTACAGCTTCTTGCTGTATTATACCTTTTATTAAAATATAATGTTCTTCATTGTCTTTTGTAATCTTTTCTGGTTTAAAGTCTATTTTGTTTGACATTAATATAGCCACCCCTGGTCTCTTTTGGTTAGTATTTGCATGGAATATCTTTTTCATTTCTTTCACTTTTAATGTTTGTGTTTTTGGATCTAAAGTAAGTCTCATAGATGCATATGGTTGGATGATGTGATTTATGGGTTATGCCGGTCTCTGTTTTTTTAATTTGAGAGTTTTATTCATTTATATTTAATGTAATTATTGATAGGGAGAGACTTCTTATCATTTTGATATTTGCTTTCTATATGCGTTACAGATCTTTTGTTTCTCATTTCATACATTACTGTCTTCTCTTGTGTTTTAGATCACTTATTTTTAAAGATTTTATTTATGTGAGAGAGAGCATGAGAGAGGGGAAGGGCAGAGGGAGAGGGAGAAGGAGACTCCCTGCTGAGCAGGGAGCCCAACTTGGGGCTCTATTCCAGGACCCTGGGATCATGACCTGGGCTGAAGACAAATGTTTAACCGACTGAGCCACCCGGGTGCCCTTTAGTTGACTTTATGTAGTGAAATGTTTAAATTCCTTTCTCATTTCCTTTTGTGTATATTCTATAGCTATTTTTTGGTGGTTACCATGGGGATTGTATTTAGCATTTTAAACTTGTAGCATTAATCTGATTTTATACTAGCCTGCCCTCAATAACATAAAGAAATTCTCCTTTACACCTCCGTTCTCAACTCCTTTAGTTCATGTCACAAGAGTATATTTTTATATATTGTGTGCCCCCAGACTTAAAACTAATGACTCTTTTTTTTTAAGATTTTATTTATTTATTTATTTATTAGAGAGAGAGAAACAGCATGAGAGGGGAGAGGGTCAGAGGGAGAAGCAGGCTCCCAGTTGAGCTGGGAGCCTGATGTGGGACTCGATCCCAGGACCCTGGGATCATGACCTGAGCCAAAGGCAGTTGCTTAACCAACTGAGCCACCCAGGCGCCCAAAACTAATGACTCTTTTAAATGCATTAGTCTTTCGAATTATGTAGAAACTACATGTGGAGTTACAACCTGAAGTTACAGTAACATTAGCTTTTAGATTAGTATAGTTTTTTTTTAAATTAGTCTCCTAAATCATGTAAAAAAACAAAAAGAGTTATAAGCCATTGTTAAAATAATACCTTTATAATTGTTCATATATTTACTTTCATTGAGATTTTTTATTTTTTTATATGGCTTTGAATTACTGTCTAGTGTCCTTTCATTTCACCCTGCAGGATTTCCTTGAGAATTTCTTTTTTTTTTTAAGATTTTATTTATTTATTTATTTATTAGAGAGAGAGAAACAGCATGAGAGGGGAGAGGGTCAGAGGGAGAAGCAGACTCCCTGCTGAGCAGGGAGCCCAATGCGGGACTCGATCCCGGGACTCCAGGATCATGACCTGAGCTGAAGGCAGTTGCTTAACCAACTGAGCCACCCAGGCGCCCTCCTTGAGAATTTCTTGCAAGGCAGGTCTAGTGGTAACAGACTTCCTCGGGTTTTACATATGGAACTGTCTTAATTTCTTCCTCTTAAAGGACACTTTTGCCCCTTGGTTGACAGTTTTTTTTCTTTTACCCTCGAATATATTGACCCACTGTTTTCTGGCCTCCCAAGTTTCTGATGAGAACTCTGCTCATAATCTTATTGAGAATTTCTTTTTGTGACAAGTTGCCTCAAGCTTGCTATCAAGATACTCTGTTTATCTTTGGGTTTCAAAAGTTTGATTTTAAGTTTTATTGGTGTGAATCTCTTTTAGTTCATCTTTCTTGGAGTACACTGATCTTTTTGGATATTTATTATTGATGTCTCCATCAAATTTGGGACATTTTCAGCCACTTGTTAAAATATTTTCTTTTACCCTTTCTCTTTCTGATAAATCCCACAATGAGTATATTGGTTCTCTGACTTCTCTGACGGGTGTATCACAGGTCCATTGGGGTATGTTCACTTTTCTTAAATCTCCCCCCTCCCCCGTGGACATAATTTTCATTTTCTGTATTTAAGTATGCTGATTCTTTCTTCATGCTACTGAAATCTTCCTTTGAATCCTTGCAGTGAATTTTTCATTTCAGTTATTATACTTTTCTTTTTGGTTTCTTTTTAGGTTTCTAGCTCTTTGTTGATATTTCCATTTTGTTTATACATAGTTTTCTTTTTTCTTTTTAAATATACATAGTTTTCTTGACTTTCTCCATATCTTACTTTAGCTCCTTGAGCTTCGTTAACGTGGTGTTGTAAAGTCATGTCCAATATGTCTGCATCAGGTGTTTTTTGGAACAGTTTTTGGAGGGGTTCCTTACGTGCCAATACAAAGTATTGGCAACCTAGGAATTTCACCTAGCTTGAGGGTCCAGAGTTTTATTTACTGTCATTACATAAGCACAGTTGATTGAGTCATTTCCTACATGACTGTGTCCAGAGGCCTAGTTGCTATCTTATAGCTCAGAGCACCAACCCTCTAATTACATGTGGTCATGCATTGCCCTCAGTCATCTTTTAAGCATGAACTATCAGGGTCCCAAATGAGTTACCTATTTGCATAAATATCCAGTCTGGAATTGACTGTGTCTCCTCTCCTGCACTCTGTCTTCTAACCCAGCCACTCCCCCAGGTCTCCCTTTCATGGTGTCAGTAGTCCTAGGACTCTTTGAAAAAAAAAGACATTGTTTTCCTGGGATTCAGAGGTAGCAAGACACAGAGACACTATTTTCATCTTCATTTTTTTCTCTTCATTTCACTGAAATGCTCATTTTTTTCTATGTTGGCATTACCAACAGACCTTTTTGTGTATTGGATTTCTTTCAGGTGACAAAGGAAAACTCAAGACCACAGAATCTACTGCTAGTGAGCCAGCCCTGTCTGAGGGAGTCTCCTTCCAGGAACAATTAACACAAGGAGTTCCAGGGATCTCCCAGGTGGGCCGAACTAAGGATCAGGATGGGTCATTGGAAATGCAGGAGGGACACTTGATGCCAGAGATAGACCCCCAGAAGGAGAAACTCCCTGGGAAATCAAGCTCTGAACATGGCAACATAGGGACAACTGATAATGTGTGTTCAGGGATTGTAAAGGAGCCAGTCCCTTTGGGAAGTGCTGTCCATGACCATGACTCATGTGAGTCAGGTAAAGATTCTGTGATTCAGGAAGAAGAAAATATCTTTAAATGCAATGAATGTGGGAAAGTTTTTAACAAGAAACGCCTCCTTGCTCGACATGAGAGGATTCACTCTGGAGTGAAGCCCTATGAATGTACCGAGTGTGGGAAAACTTTTAGTAAAAGCACTTATCTCCTTCAACACCACATGGTCCACACAGGGGAGAAGCCCTATAAGTGTATGGAGTGTGGGAAGGCCTTCAACCGTAAGTCACACCTTACACAGCACCAGCGGATTCACAGTGGAGAGAAGCCTTATAAGTGCAATGAATGTGGAAAGGCCTTTACCCATCGCTCCACTTTTGTCTTGCATAACAGGAGCCACACTGGAGAAAAACCCTTTGTGTGCAAAGAATGTGGAAAAGCCTTCCGAGATAGGCCGGGTTTCATTCGTCACTACATCATCCACAGTGGCGAGAATCCCTATGAATGCTTTGAGTGTGGCAAGGTATTTAAACACAGGTCATACCTCATGTGGCACCAGCAGACTCACACTGGGGAGAAGCCCTATGAGTGCAGTGAGTGTGGGAAAGCCTTCTGTGAGAGTGCAGCCCTCATTCACCACTACGTCATCCACACTGGGGAGAAGCCCTTTGAGTGCCTAGAGTGTGGGAAGGCCTTCAACCACAGGTCATACCTCAAGAGGCACCAGAGGATTCACACTGGGGAGAAACCCTATGTGTGCAGCGAGTGTGGAAAGGCCTTCACCCACTGCTCTACTTTCATCTTGCATAAAAGGGCCCACACTGGAGAAAAACCTTTTGAGTGCAAAGAATGTGGGAAAGCCTTTAGCAATCGTGCAGACCTCATTCGACACTTCAGCATCCACACTGGAGAGAAGCCCTATGAGTGCATGGAGTGCGGGAAGGCCTTCAACCGCCGTTCAGGGCTCACAAGGCACCAGCGGATTCACAGTGGAGAGAAGCCCTATGAATGCGTCGAGTGTGGGAAAACCTTCTGTTGGAGCACAAACCTCATTCGACACTCTATCATCCACACTGGAGAGAAGCCTTATGAGTGCAGTGAGTGTGGAAAAGCCTTCAGTCGCAGCTCATCCCTCACTCAGCATCAGAGGATTCATACTGGGAGAAACCCTGTCAGTGTAACAGAAGTGGGAAGACCCTTCACAAGTGGGCAGTCCTCAGTCAACCTCCAAGAGCTCCTACTGGGGAAAGACTTCTTGAATGTAACCACTGAGGAAACATCTTACTCAGAATCTGATCATTCATACCAAAGAGAAACCCCTCAGTTTCCTTCCCTATGAGAAACCCTTTTGTTGCAGGATATCATTTGTCATCTAAGGAGTCAGACTGGAAATTTACCCAGTCTAGAGCCTTATTCTACATCTGAGAATTCATCCAGGGGAGACCCAGTGGTTATATGCACATAGGAAAATCTCCAGCTACATCTCTTTCCTTAATTTACACTGCAGTATTACCTCAGGAATTTTTTTTTTTTTTTTTTTTTTTTTTTTTTTTTTAAAGAAAGGAGAGACTTAGAAGAGAAAATGAACTGCAAACACAGACACATTTTCTTTCAGGCTTCCTTGCCAAGCCTTTGGCACTTTGTGTTGAATTCCCTAGTTTACTTGGCAGGAGAAGGGTTTTGTTTTAGAGGTGAAGGACCTAGACTTTTATGTGTCTTGTATATATATTCATTGCTGTCCAGTATCAAGAGAGTTAATTGAGGGCAGGTTTGGAAACTTCATGAACATCTTCTTTGTTCTAAAACATTGTCTCTGTTCTTAAGGAGCTTAATTTTTGTGAGAAATATAAAGGCTGGAGCCATCAAACACCTTTATGTTTGAGGAGATAAGAATACACATATGAATGGGCACATTTTATTGCACCAGTTAAAACTGTTTAAGGCTTTGATTTTTTTGAAAAAACAAACCTTCATGTGGTTTTAAGGAGCTGATACTTAGACTTTTTCTTGGTCCTATACTATTGGTTTACTTGATTGCTGTAATTGGATGGTAAATCTTCCAGTTGTGTAAAATAATTTCTCTCTATTCTTTTTATTTAAAACTGATTTAGCACTCATTACTTTGAATTTCCACATAAAGTTTTGGAGAAGCTTGTCTATTTTAATGAAAAACTCTATTGAATTTCAGTAGAAATTGAGTTAAATCGTCAGATCAATTTGAGAATTGGCATCTTTACTGTGTTGAGTCTTCAGTTTATTAACACAGTATGTCTCTATGTTTATTTAAGTATTGCTTGATTTACTTCATCACTGTTTTGTAAATTTCAATAATAGGTCCTGCATGATTTTTATAAGGTTTATATCTAGGTGTTTTTTTTCTTTTGTTATAAATGGCATTGATTTTAAACTTTCAATTTCCACACAAGTTTTGGTAGTGTGCAGAAATGTAATTAAAATTTGGATGTCATTTTTGTATCCTGCAACTTTGCTGAACTCTAGGTATTTATTTGTTTGATAGAATGCTTGGAGTTAGAAAACAAATATCATCTACAGAAGAGACAGTTTTATTTCTTCTTTACCATCTGTATACCTAGTATTTTCTTGTCTGCTGTACTAGCTAGGATTTCCAATATGATGTTGAACAGTATTAGTAACTACTTGTCTGGTTTCTGATATTAGGGAGAAAACATTCAGTTTTAAATCAAGTATGATGTTAGTATGAGGTTTTCTTTATAGAAGTTTCTTATCAAGTTTAGAAAGTTTCCCATATTCCTGGTTTGCTGTGGGGTTTTTTGGTTGTTGTTGTTGTTGTTATTATGAATGGGTGTTGAATTTTATCACATACTTTTTCTCTACCAGTTGATATAGTCTTGTTTTTTTTCTTAGCTTGTTGATATGTATTACATTGATTTGAGTTTTGAATGTGGAATCAGCTTTGTGTTCTTGAAATAAGCCCTACTTGGTTTAGAGTATAATTATTTTTATATATTAAATTACAGTATTCACTATGCTAGTATGTTGTTGAGGAAGTTTTCCTCTAATTGGTAATGATACATAGTTTTCTTTCTTTCATTTGTTTTTGTTTGTTTGTTTTTTGTCTTTTGTTTGTTTCATACTGTCATTGGTTTTGGTGTCTAGGTGATAGTGGCCTCCCAATATATATTGGGAATATGCTTTTATTATGTGGAAAATAGTATATAGAATTGGTTTTATTTTTAATGTTTGGTAGCCAGTGAACCATTTATGCCTGGAGTTTTTTCTTCAGATGCTTTTTAATTATGTATTTATTTTATTTAATATGTATAGAACTGTTCAGAATATCTGTTTCATATTGGATGAATTTTCATAGTTGTCCTTTTTTAGGAATTGTTCATTTCATCTAAAGTTTCTTACTTGTTTCAAGTATTCCTTTATCATATTGTTTATGATGGAAGAATCTGTACTTATATCTCCTCTTAGATTCCTGATATTGGAAATGTGTCAACTCTCTTTTTATCTTTGTTAATCTTCTTAGATATTGATCATTTTTTTGTATCTTTTTAAAGAAGCAGCACTTTATGCCACTGTTTTTTCTCTGTTACCTTTTTGTTCCTAATTTCACTGATATCTGTATTGACCTGTTCTTCCATCTGCTTTGGTGGTATTTTCCTCTGTAATGTCTTACAATGGATGCTTAGATTACTGATTTGAGATCTTTTGCTTTTCTAATGTAAGCATTACATTCTATAAATTTTCCTCACAGCACTTTCCTCACAAGTTGTAATACATTTTAATTACATTTCATTTGGTTCTAAAAATTTCTTTATTCAAGACTTCCTCTCTAATCCATAAATTATTTAGAAGTATATTGTTTAATTTCCTAGTGTTGAGAGTATTTCATGCTTTTTGTTAATGACTTCTAACTTGTTTTATGTTTGATCTGGTTGTTTAAATTTGTTGAGGTTTGCTTTATGACCCAAAATATGGTCTATCTTGATGAATGTTGATAAGGTTGCTTGAAAAGAATGTATATTCTACTGTCATTGGATGGAGTTTGTATAAATGTCCCCATGATCGTGTTGGTAGATGATGTTATTCAGATTTTCTTTATCCTTGCTGATTTTCTGTTTAGTATCGCTCTCAATAGCTGAGAGAGAGATTTTGAAGTCCTGCAGTATAATTTGGAATTGTCTGTTTCTCCTTTTAAGTTCTATCAGTTTTTGCTTTGAGTATTTCAAAGCTCTGTTGTAGGTGCATACACATTTAGGATTGCTCTATCACCTTGGTGTGTTGACTTTTCTTATCATTATGAAATGTCCCTTTTTGCCCCTGTAAATTTTCTTTGGGGTATACTTTAACTGATATTAATATAGTTACTAGTGTATTTTTTGGGTAATATTTTGCAGTTTTTGGTTTATATTCCATAATTTTATTTTCAACCTTATGTATATCATTACATTTGAAAGGAGTCCCCAGGAATAGCAGATATTCAGGTCATGCTTTGTTTTTATCCATTTTGCTGATTTCTTTTTTAAATTGCTATTTTTAGACCATTTAAGTTTAAAATAATTACTGATACGTTAGGGCTTAAGTTTGCCAGTTTATGATTTGGTTTTTCTTTGTTCCCTGTTTTATTTTTCCTGTTGTTTTGGGGTTTTTTTATTTTTATTTTGTGTTTTGCCTTCCTGTGGGTTAATTTTTAGAATTCCATTTGATCTATGATGTTTTTGAGTTTATCTCTTTGTATTTTAGTAGTTATTTTAGGTATTGTTTTATACACATATAATTTATCACGACCTATGGTATCAACACCTTAGCACTTTGATATGTAGAAATCTTACTTTCATTGGGTTCTTTTACATTCCCCACTCTTTAATATAATTGTGTTAGGTATTTCCTCTTTATACACTGAGCATCATGTTGGATGATGGTTTTTGCTTCAACTATCAAACAATTTTTACAAAACCCATGAGAAGTGTAGTCTGTTTACTTCTACTTTTATCCATTCCATTGTTCTTTCTTCTTGAAATCTCAAGATTTTTTTCTGTTAACATTTCCTTTCTTTTTTGCAAACTCCTATACAGATCTTCCTTCACTTATGATGGAGTTACATGTCGATAAACCCATTGAAAGTTGAAAATACTGTAGTCAGAAATGCATTTAGTATGCCTAACCTACTGACCATAGTTTAACCTAGCCTATGTTAAACATACTCAGAACACTTACATTAGTTTACTGTTGGGCAGATCATCTGACACAAAACCTATTTTATCCTAAAGTGTTGAATAGCTTATGTAATTTATTGAATATTATACTGAAAGTGAAAAACTATGATTGTATGGGTACTTATCGTTAACATACACAGCTGGGCCTAAAGAATGTTTGAGGTGGTGAACTAAAATTAATTACTGGGTAATGGGGATGCTGCAGTCACAGGGTCATCAATTTCTCTTTCTTACGATGAGGCTGAAGAATAGCTGGTAGAAGGCACCAGGGCAGCAACACTTGTTGATGGTTTAGGCAGTATAGTGTTCTTTAGGAAGATACCAAGTTTTGACTGTGCAGTTTGTTTCTTCTTTTCATTACATATTTTTCTGTAGCAAGCAAGAGCATCCTGTATCTGCCCATCAGCTCTTGTGAGTGTCTTGTGACTGACATCCATTTCTTCTAACATCCAAATGCCATTACTGATAGGAGCAGAGTCCTCTGTCTGTTTCCTGTGACCTTTCTTGGTGCTTCATGTGTTACTTCTTCTGCGTCAACTTCTTTATTTCTTTGTCCTTCCAGTTTGATTAGCTCCTCAATAGAAAGCTTTTCATCCTCAATGGCAAGAAGCTCAGGAACATCCTCATTAATGTCTAATTCTGGCTGTTTCCCAAGCACTAATATCTTTCTCGTTACTTAACATTCATCAACAGCGGAATCTTTGTTAAAGCCTCTGAATGTGTTCACATATATCTTCCATCATGCATTGCTACATGACTTCTCATTGTGTAGTGACATTCTGAAGAGCATTTAGAATGTGAAAATCTTTCTAAAACGTCGAGCATTTGGCTAGATTCAGTCACTTCAACAGCCTACACAAATGGCATAAATTGTATGCTTTGAACATAGCTGTTGCACCTTCGTCCATTGATTGAATGAGTGTAGTTGTGTTTGCTGGCAAATGTACAACCTTTACGTCAGGATGCATGTCCCTGAGATGCTGCGGATGCCCTGAAGCTTTATCTCAGATAATAATTTTTTTTTAAGATTTTATTTATTTATTTGACACAGAGAGAGCACAAGCAGGGGTAGTGGCAGGCAGAGGGAGAAGCAGTCTCCCTGCCAACAAGGAGTCTGAA